TCCTTACGTATTCGAACAGTCAGTGTACTGGGAAACAGAACTCGGTACTTGTAATGGATAACACATCACGATTCGAAGGATCAGAAGACAATGAAGATGAGATTTTTGATTTGTCCCTGGAACAACCAGTCATTTTCGAGTTTTCTAAACAGTTGTTCTTAACATTTGGCTGCATCTCAGTAACACTGAGAACTTCGTATTTGTAGTATAAAGCGATCTTTGTATCCCATGAAACAGATACTTAATACATCAAATATCTGAAACTGTTGCTAATTATGAGACTTTATATTAAGCCTTAACTTTTGCTTTCACTAACATTGAACTGACTTAATGTTTTAGATGGATTTAACCGACGAAATATAACTTTCGAATGGTTAAAGAATGTAAGTTATGGAATGCCGGAACCAGATGGCCCTCATAAACAGATCGTGCGTCCCGAAACGGTTTCCATTATAGCAACACATTCGATCAGGAAAAGTTATCACGGATACATCGACGTCAATGTTCGTCATTTTAGTTACAGAAAAACCCCGCAGTAAACTTATATTTTGATTAACTGAAGAAGTTCTCTATTTTGAGCTTGTTGCAACTGGTAATTCTGCATTTACAGTACTTGGATCAACTGTAATTCGTAGTTCGCCAGGTTGTTGTTTTTCCGATTGTACGACCAATGTTGTATGCATGACGTTCACTCGATTTAAAAACAGGAAAGAAGGAAAAACCGTTCTCACAAAATTGCATATTTTCAGTTACCTGCATCCGAAGTTTCTCTATTTCATGTATCACATAAGTGGTCCAACGAAGTAAGCTCACAAGAAACAGTTAAAGAACAGTCAGATATTTTTCGCAACATAGTGCTACGATTGAAAAATGCATATAACGGAACCAGACAGAATTTGTTTCCGAGAAATGTTCCGGCTGAACGAGGAGCACAAAAAAGGATTGCTGAATGCATCAGCAGGCTAGTCTTTCAAATTAAAGGCAAAAACCCTCTCCATACTTGCTCTATGGAGAGCTTGCTCTAAGGAAGCACAAAGAAATAGCCCAAGTGGTAGCAAAATCCAACAGCAATCGCAGTCCGTTCATGATTCGTTCATTAGTTTCGATGGTAAATTGGTACTGACATATGCCAGGAAGTTAGAACAGCCATTAGTTTGTTTCTGATCAGCCTTCGAAAATGGGAACTGTTAAAAATTTTGCTGCCTTTGACAGCATACTATCACTTGAGCTAGTTTCAAGTACCTCCATTTACAGGAAATGAATAATTGAAGATTTTTCTAGTAATATTGTAATTACTCGTTTGCTGTAATTGCTTGTTTGTTGCAAACGAAACTGCTTTGCAAGGATATCGATAAACTAGGAAGTAATGAACTTGCTCATTTTCACCTTTTCCGTTCCTGCGAATCGTGATTGTTAATTGTTACACTACTAGCTCTTGTGATGCACTTCTATAATGGGGAACGTTTAAATTGGAATATTCGTTGGGTTCTTACATACATTTTGCCTTAATTTTGCTGATATCATAATCACTGCGCACTTATCCATTTTCACCAATTTTAAGCTGTAAAATCATGGCACAATATTTTTATTCATCAAGCAGGGCATACCTATATATATATACATATATATATATATATATATATGCCATATGTTTGGATAAAAAACCACACAGAACAGGATTAATGCACTAATTTACATTGCCTACACAGAACAGGATTAATGCACTAATTTACAGAATGGTTCCAAATGGACACCGTTGCATTTTGAATATAATAGGTGTTCGCAACTTTTCAAACTTTTCTAATAAGGAAAACAAACAAGAAAAAAAAATTTTATGTCAAAAGGTTACAGAAAATCCAAAGATAACCTAAGGAGTGTTTTCTTTGTTGAATGTTACAGATGGCGAACAGAAGGTGGTTGTAAAGTGGTAAAACGTTGCGCAAATGAAGCAGGCGATGCGGTTCGCTGGATTCATGCCAGCGAGATCGACAATAATGAAAATCAGTTTGTTGTTGTATAAGCTTATCTGATATTAGCTCGGTGAACTCGTCTTTTTTTTTGCTTCACATTTGATTGTTAATTTGCTTCTTTGCCTCCCGTTGTTAATTAATTTCTTGTTTCCCTTGCTCATTTTTTCTTTGTTTGTCCAGTTTTCTCTTTTATCTGCGTTCTATTTTTCACTTATTTGCCGAGTAACAAGTATAGGTATTCCACGTCAATGATATTATCGGTATATAAGTTACACGCAGCTGTGTCGGACAATTAAATCCTGAGCCTCCAGTTAGCACCCACTGCCTGTTCAACGCATATGTGCCAATACTTCGGAGACCACCTGAGAATCGTTTACTTTTTCGCAGATATTGTTTCCAGTATTCGACGTACACTTTTTGGCAAGGCGAACAACAAGCCTTTGAATTTTACTTTCTTGCGTGATCGCAATGATATCCTACACACCACTCACCTAACAGGGAGTCTGATTCTTGGTCCTGAAGAAGATATACACCAATTTTCCCTCACCCCATTGCTCTCTCCCTTGTGGCTAACACTCACTTTTCAACTTTTGTCAGTAATCACGTTTCACATACAAAATGCAAGAAATGCGAAGTAATTTCAACATAAAAATTTTTTTGCTAAAAATGCAGGTTTTCCCTGAAATTTTACAAAGAGCCGTCAACTCAAATGTTCAGAAAATGTTATGTAAGCTCATCACTTTGTAGCTGACTGATTGCACCGTTGCCCTTTAATTAAACGTTCAGACTTTGCTTTCCGTCTGTTGCATTGCAGTGGCAACTGACTGGTCATCATTAGGAAATAGGGGGAAAAAGGCTCCGATAATGGTTTTTTCCCCCTTGAAAAGTTAGCAAAAATATGAAAAGTGCCTTTGTTTGTGGAAAACCTATTTTTAGTTTTGTCTTCTGGTTGTCCTTTTGTTTTACCATGTAATTTTTTGACCCGAAAATTTGTCATCGAATTTTTGTACTTTAAATATCCTCAACAAAAGTTTTATTTGCTCCTTTCCCCTGGGGAAACAGTTCCTGGACGATTTTTTTATGATGGAGGGCGTAGGAAGTAGAATTTTCAAAATTTTTGGGAAGAATAAAAAACTATTTTACTGCTTATCTTTTTCAGTTGCAGGAAATTATTAGTTCTAAAACAATTATTAATGATAAAGAAATTTTCTTTGCAATATTTTCAGTGAAATTAATTTTTCAATCATAAACTAATTAATGTTTCCAACAAATGCAATGATTTTTCCTCACCGTCGGCGTTTGCTTAACGTTGCATGGGTACCATTCAGTAATCCATTTTGTCCATCCCATTATTACCATGTGGCCAGCACAACTTATTTTTTATTCTAAGTGTTTCCTAGATAACTCGCTCAAAAATTCATATAATAATTCAAATTGCGAATATTATAGTTTTTTCATGATGTCCTTTGCTTGAAAAAAGAGTCGTTTGTCCACACGTTGGCCATTTAAGTGGTCAACAGCCTTCAAACTCTGCAAAAATTCTGGCCGAAAAGGTTCGAAAACAAAATTCAAGTACCACTGAATCGCTTTTATACTGCATGCAGATTGGTGCATGGTTTTGCTCCAAATTCTGCTTTGGCACCAAAAAGCACTGCTTAACAAATCAACGTCATCATCACTTTTGTCAGAGGAAGCGACACAACTGCCAGCTCAAATTAGCATCAGTAATGGCTGCGATCGAATATTTAACTTCCCGTAGAGCCTCAAAAGTTTCCCTCATTTCCTCTTTATATGATTGCTATCAGCGTCGAAAAATCGTAAACCTCCCCTTTACTAAGCACATCTCACTGTTTCTTTGAGAGTTTCGTGTATTAGGGAGTAGCCCGAGTAGTAGCAAATGCCAATAGCAACCGCTCGCTGACAAGGTGGTTGATGCTTTTTTTTTCTTTCAGGGGCCACTTTGAAGCAGACTGGGAGCTATATCTGTCTGGCACACACTATACCAATTTACCATCGAAACGAATGAACAAATTATGGGAAGACTGATTATCCTTGACCGGGGTTTGTTTTTGACTTGATGCGTTAAGGCCTCAAACTTTCCAGCTTCTCAGCTCTATAAAAAGGAGCGAACTTTCCCCGTCCTTGCCATTCATCAAAAAACCTTTTACGTCATCAGCTTCGGCACTTTCTGCGTTCACAGTGGTCTTAAATTGATGTTTAGGCCTCAGAAGCCCACTAGGGAGCACAAAAATCCGAAGAAGATAAGGGTTTGCTACTTCAGTTCCTATTCTCCGATTAAATGGGTGCAGCCATAAACTCAGGGGTAAAGTGCTCCTCTGCCATACAGGTAGATGGATCTGGACCAGAACCTATCTTGGCCTGTGCGTCAGATGAGCATTCTACCGCTGGGTCATGGCTGCACTCACGCAGAGACAGGTAAATGTGATTTTAATGTATGGAGATGAATCGTTTCTCTCCGGATCCAGGCTTTGCTTTGTAGGATTTCTGGTGGTACCGTTTCTTTGATAGCTCCGCCACCAAGCATACATAGACCAGTCGGGCACTTAGTATGGGTTTTCCATGTTAGTGATGTTACTAAGATGTTTCCATACATCAGGGCAGTTATATCAGATCCTTTGATCTTGGGCTGCCTACCTCCTCCAACTAGTACTTACCATCTGTTCGATGCAGGTACGCCATCTTTTCGAATGGGCCGCCCGAGTGGTTGTCTGTACTTTTCTCTGGGAAACACGTATCGTTCTGGTGCGTGATAATATTATTCAGGATTGTCGTCTTCCTTAGAATTCTTGCGATAGTATCATGAACTGGCCAAATGGAGTAATTTCAGGAGGTCAACACTGAGAAAGGACTTCTGCTGCTAACATGAATAAGCTCAGATTAAGGAAAGGTCAGAGTTTACTCGGTTACATTCGAGATTCTATTGATGTGCCGGCGGCCAGTGATTTATGGGTTTGTTGAATTTTTTTTTTCTTTTTTTTGCAGCATAATAGTCTTGAAAAATTCAATCAACTTTTTGAAAACCTTTCAAGACGGATGCCAGAAACACCGGTAACTTCGGCTCATTGATTGTTCGGGTGATATTACTGATTGACTTTCACAGTTTTGGCTCATGCAGCTGTGTGTGTATGTTCGTGAGTGTGTATGTGCGTCTGTCCGGGTATTTAAACTCGGCACCCAAGCAAGTTCCGGCGCCAAAATTTTGCCTACGGGTGTTCCAGCTAAGTGTCACTCTAGGACCACGGCACCACTCTCATGCAAGTTTGGGCCCGCGTACGAAAGGGTAAAAGTTTTGGCGGGAAAATTATTATCTCGGAGACCACGGAATCTAGGAAGCTGAAACTTTGAAGGTATGTCCCTTGTTTACAAGCGACCTAAAAAATTTGAATTCAGCCTTTTCGTGCCCGCGGGTAACATATGGCGGGTAAATTATTATCTCGGGAACCATGGAATTTAGAAAGCTGATATTTTAGAGTAACGACCCCTCCACCCACGTACCACCTCGCAAATTCAAATTCAGTGTTCCTACGCTTTCGGGTGTCACCTACGGCCCCGTGAAAATTTTGGTAGGGAAATTATCATCTCGGGAACCATAAAAGCCAGGAAGCTAAAATTTTACTGTGATGTCTTCTGTCCACATATAATTCTGAAATTTTAAATTCAGCCTTTCTGCACATCCGACCCCGTGAAAGTCTCGGCGAGGAAAATTATTATCTGGGGAACCGCAAGAGTTGGGGATCTAAATTTTAGGGTGATCTCCTTTATCAACGAACGACCTCGCAAATTTGGATTAAGCTTTCATGCATCCCTGGGTACCACGT